GGGGGCAGAGGGCAGCCCCAGCACAGGCGTGGGTGTGGTCAGTGTAAAGGTGCCTCTGGGAGGTGTGAAAAGCACAGAGCCAAGTGGGCAGTAAACAGAGCGTGTGGGGGTGACGGTTGTTATTAGCACGTTGGGTTTCTTGTGTTTTATTACTGTTTTATTTTATTACTAGAGACCTAGTGCATGAAATTCGTGCACGGGTGGGGGGGGGGCTCAGCCTGGCCTGCACCCTCTCCAATCCAGGACCCCTGTGCGATTGGGCCTAAACCGGCAGTCAGACATCCCTCTCACAATCCGGGACATCTGGCTCCTAACTGCTCACCTGTCTGCCTGTCTGATCGCCCCTAACTCCTCTGCCTGCCTGCCCGACTGACTGATCGCCCCTAACCACCTCTGCCTACCTACCTGATCGCCCCTAACTGCTCCCCTGCTGACCTGATCACCCCTAACTGCTCCAGTGCCTGTCTGATGGTCCCTAACGGCCTCTGCCTCCGCCTCCGCCACTGCGGCTTTGTCCGGAAGGACATCCAGAAGGTCGTTTGGCTGTACGGTCTAATTAGCATATTATGCTTTTTTTAGTATAGATGATGATGATGATGATTAAAAACCTACCCCTGTGAGCCACACCAGTACCTGAAACAGGCTTGGAATCAGAAGTGGACCCTCTCAGCTCATGTCCTTCTCACACTCCCTGAACTCAGTGTCCTCAACTCTGAAATGGGAAGAAATCCCCACTTTTTAGCCAATAGGTGGAGGGTCAGAAGGTGCCTACATACCACCTTCCAGCTGTGTCACCTGGGGCAGGTCACGTGACCCCTCTGAGCCTCAGGTGTCTTGTCTATACAGTGAGGTTAGAAATACCTTTCTTCTTCTAGAGCTGTCGTGTGGATCAAATGAGATATGGGTGGGAAGAGCCTAGAGCAAACAGGGCCTGGCACATAGTAGGTGCGCAACTAGCACCCCTTTCCTTCCCCAGCGGCTTAGCTAGTTTATTGAGCCACACGACCCCAGGCCTGCTGCCGTGAGGGGGAAGGAGGTGGGAGAGGATGATGCCCGGCGGAGCACGGGAGGCACCGGGGACCTGGAGAGGAAGCGGAGGCGCTCCTGCAGAGAGGAGAAGGAAGGTTATTCCGGGCACGGGGAACAGCATACGCAAAGGCCTATGGGAAAGGGCACATGAGAGCAAGTGAAGGGCGGCCAGGGAGGCCTCAAGTCCGGGGCAGGGGGCGGGGCACAGGGTGTGGTGAGGATGGGGGTTGGAGTCTTTATCCCCAGGACAAGGGGCCGCCATGGGAGGCTGAGTTGGAAGGGCAGATGGAGGCAGGGAGCATGGGGACAGGAGCCGGTGGTCGGGTGCCGGGTGAGGGGGCTATGCAAACAGAAGAGATGGGTGGGCTTGGTGAGAGAGGAGACAGGAGGGCGAAGGGAGGTGAGGGTCCAGGTGCCTCCTGGGGTTGTGGCCGGGGTGTCTCAGGGACCATCCTAGCACCCAGGGAGCTCAGGAAGAATTCAGGGGAAATTCTAGGACTTCCGTTTTGGTCCAAACGGCAAACAAGATGACGGCCAGTGCCCAGAGGGGTAGCAAGGTCTGAAACTCAGGGAGCAGTTGGAGCTGAGGGGCTGTGTGTGGCTCTTTGGCCCAAGAAAAGAACAGGGAAGTAAAGAGAGACAGTGGGAGAGGAGAAGGCAGCCTGGGCCCGGGTCACGGGAGCCCATGGCCCAGCCCTTGGCCATCTACAGTGGGGATTGTGCATAGAAACACTAAAGCCCTGCCTGGCCCCTTCCCAACCCCTTTGGCATCCACATGGCCTCCCCCAGCAGGTGTACCCTGGCCAGAAGCCCACCTCAAAACACAAGCCCCAGCCAACAGGAAAGCAGCAGGAAGTAAACAAACAAAACAAAGAATCTGATCCTTCACCCCACGGTCAACTAGAGGTGACTGGGTCTTTCCACGACAGCACTCAGCCCCCCTCCCGCTCCTGCAGTGCCGCCTCCCTGCCATGCCCTTGCTCCTGACTCCACACGGACGGACGGCCCCTCACGCCTTCCATCCCCACGTGTCCCCACGGCCGCAGAATCCTGGGACACAGTCTTGGGTGTCTGCAAACCAGGGTTCTGATCCCAGCCCTGCCACTTCTTGGCTGTGTGACTTAGGGCAAGTCACTTCACCTCTCTGAGCCTCCGTGTCTTAAACTAAAAAAGAGCCACTTGACAGAGTGTTTAGGATGAAATGACAAGTTGTATGACGCTACCAGCATGGAGTAGGTGTTTCTGAGCTTAAGGTGTAATGGAGCTCTTGCTCTGTGCCCTGGTGTTGGGGCCACCTCCCCCTCCCTCTGGAAACCAGGAACTCCAGGCCTGCAGGGCTCAGAGTTGCAGGAACAGAAAGGAAAACTCCCAAGTGAGTCACTTAGGGGGTGGATCTGTGTAGATTACCGACTGGGGACAAAGCCCCACTTAGTGGCCACTGATTTAGGGTGCAGAGGATGGTGCCCATCCAGGCAGGATGTGGTCTCCAAGCTAACACCGCAGCTGCACCTTCAAGAGGCTCATTGCTCAAGCACCTACCAGGCCACCCCCCCCCCCCCCCCCCCCCCAGCATCTGGTGGGGAAATGTTGAGCGGGCCCGAGGGACCGTGGCCACATGCTCCGCCCACACGTCCTTTACTGTAAAGAGGGTCCCTCCGTGATGTCTAATGTGATGTCATGCAGCGTCTGCGTCAGAGGATCAAACCCTCTGGGAGCCCTTGGAGGCCGATGCGGCCGAGGCTCTGTGGGCAGGAAAGGCCACACACATCCAGAACATGTGTGAGTTCTGGGCAAGATAGATTGCTGGTCTCGGCAGAAGAGAAGGGATCCCGCGTGATCAACCAGCTGCCAAGTTGCTGGTTGGGTTTCTCAGGAAACCACGGGTCGCTGTTGCTGGCAAGTAGGCAAGTCAGCAGAGGCGGTAGCTCGGGAAGCCTGGCGAGTGGGTCTACCCAGAGCCCTGCCCAGGCCACACGGCTACTTCATGCATGTGCCGTTGTACCAGCACTGGGCTGGCCAATCAGAGTGGCTGATGTCAACCGGCCGAGTTTGGTGGTTGAGTGCCTCTCCTGTGAAGGGTGCTTCTGGGAACATAAGTGTGCTTTATGTCTTCCCACTCTGTGCCCACTCCCATAGGCCGTCGACTTGCCTCTTCCCCAGATCTCCCTGTTCCCAGCCTTCTAATCCTTCTTCTTCTTCGCCTCCGACCAAAAAGTCAAGCTACTCTCTACTGCCCATGATTGCATGTATATTCTTACTTCCCGACACTTCTCTTTCCACATGAGGAGGTTGACCAGGTGCCCTGCCCAAAGTTCTGCCCATTGGGAGGACTTCTCACCACTGTCTCCACAGCACTTTTGAGTCACACAAACACGGAGCCACACATCCTAGAACAGCCGCGGGCCGGATCCGGCCCGTTTGAAAAAAATAAAACTAAAAAAAAAAAAAAAAAGACCGTACCCTCTTATGTAATGATGTTTACTTTGAATTTATATTAGTTCACACAAACACTCCATCCATGCTTTTGTTCCGGCCCTCCGGTCCAGTTTAAGAACCCATTGTGGCCCTCGAGTCAAAAAGTTTGCCCACCCCTGTCCTAAAACCTAGCTCAGGCATTTTCCTCCTTTGTCAGAAGATCACCAGGGACCCGCCCGTGCAGCCATGGTGTGAGCTGAGGGACACGCCTTGGTGCCACAGCAGAGGATGACATGGGGGTCTGGGCCACCTGTCCATGGAGCTGGCTGGAGTCTTCTGTTTCTGCTCACGCTTGCTACTAGGTGAACCACTTACAATGAAGAGCTATTGGGCGTCTTGACTTTATGACTTGAAGGGTCAGACAGACCCATCTTGGCTACTTGGCCAAGGGACTCCTGACCACATACTACACTTGCCACAGTGTTGCAAGACCCTTCCCTCTGGGGACACAGCCTTTTCTGCAGTCAATAGATTTGGGGTCTGATAACTGGCTCAGGGCCAGAAATGAGGCAAAGGGTCTTGATTTTTTGTGCTGTGGCTGCCCATTTGGAGGGACATATCCTTAAGTGAAGCAGCTCCATTTGGCTGAGGTAGTTTCCTGGGGAGGGACTCAGCATTGAGTGATCAGCAGAGTACCACCCCCCGCCCCCCATCCCCAGCAGCTGAGAGAATGGGCACCTTGATCCTGAAGAAGAGAGCTGCATGGCACAGCAGAGCACCCATTATACACATGGTGGACCATTACCATATGCCAGATACGTGCTGGGTGTTGAACAAAACTCAGCTCTTTTAATCCTGACAACCACGCTCTAGGTAAGGGTTATGGTTCGTGACTCCCAGATCAGGACACTGCATTGGTTACATTTCAGGACTGACTGCTGTTAACAACAAGACTCAGAATAATAGTGACAGAGACATTCCCAAAACTGGTTTCTCTCTCAGTGAAAAGTCCGAGTGGGGAGCTGCTGGTGAGGTGGATATGATGACTTTTCTCCACACAGTTGCCCAGGCCCCCGTCTCCTAGCTTGCTTTCCTGCCATCTCAATACCCAGCTTCCATCTCAAAGTCCAAGACGGCTACTCCGTCAACAGGAGGGAGAAGTAGGGGGATGGAGGACTTGATGTTCTCTGCATTCATTCAGGAGAAGTAGTATCTGTCCTCGTAAAACCTTCAAGAAATGGTTTTACACTTCCCAAAGCGAGGACTTGAAAGGGAGAAGTAGTATCTGTCCTCGTAAAACCTTCAAGAAACGTGAGCAGGCACTTCCCAAAGCGAGGACTTAAAAATCAGGAAGGGTTTGGACAGGCAGACAGGACAAGGCGTGCGGTGGAGGAACTGCATAGGCAAAGGCGGGGGAGTAAGACGGAGAGTGAGACAACACAGGGCTGTGAGGAGCTGGCAGGCCGGACTGGCAGGCTGTGGTTGGGAACGGTGGGGAGAAGGCTGGCTGGAGAGGCCAGGGAGACTGTGGAGGACCAGATGAGGGCTTTTCCTTCAAGTGATGGGGAGTCCATGGAGATTTTGACCAGGAGAGTGTTGTGGCTGGAACAGGAAGCACCACTGGGGAGTAGAAGCCAGCCAGCTGACAGGGTGTGGCAATCATCCTAGCACCTTGCACAGAATTCTGACCAACACACACTCATCTCCTTTAATTCATTTCCAGGTGATGTGGGAAAAGCTTTGTAGTTATCCCAATGCCAGGTCAGCCCTGGTTCAGCAGTTCATCCCTATAGCCAGGTCAACTCACTGCTCTGAGCTTCAGTGTCTGGGACAGAAACTGTCAGATGTCCCCCAAAATCCAGTCTCCCATCTCACATAGTAAGGCCCACCCTATTACAGGCTCATTTCCCAGCCTCCCTTGCAGCTATGTGTGACCATGTGACTACATCTGGCCAATAGGGTGTGAAACAAAATGATTCACCACTTCCTGGTTGTGCAAATAAATAAGTGAATAAATGAGAGACGTGTGGTCCAGTAAAAGAATAAACTAAAGTTCCAGGGAGGAATGAATGCCTTCCTTATTGGCTCTTTCTAGCTGCTGAGGATGCAGCAGTGAACAAAATAATGAGTGAAATGAATGCAATAGAAAAGATGCGAGTACACAAGATAATTTCAGGGCACCTGTACCGGGAGGGTAGAAGAAACAGAAAGCTGGGTAGGAGGGGAAGGCAGGAGAAGGGCTGACTTAGACAGAGTGGTCAGGGAAGGCCTCTTGGAGGTGGTGACAACAGAGCCCAGGCTTGAGTGGAAAGGGCCAGCGAGTCATGGGTTTCTGGAGGGAAGAGGGCCCTGAGGGCTAGCTGGTGTGGCTGGGGCTGAGGGGTGAGGAGAGGGCAGTGAGTGAGCCAGTGACCACAGGGCCTTCTCTCTCCAGACCCCGTGGAGCTGAGCAGCGGGGAGACTGAGGAGCTGCAGCGGATCAAATGGCACCGGAAGCAGCTTCTGGACGACATCCAGGTGAGTGCACACTCACAACTGTGCACGTGAGTCACACACACATTCACACTGACGCACCCTCAGACCCTGCTGCGTGTGGAGCCCGCCTGCGGCTCTACAGCCTCCTCGCATGGGGGGGTCCACCAGCGCTCGTCCCCATCCTGAGCCTCAGCTTCAACCCCTCCTAAAACGGGGATCATTAGGTCAACATCACACCAGTCCGTGCCCAGCACTTGCCAAGTCACCAGTTTTTCAAATGTTAGTACATCTGGTTCTCAGCAGCCTCTGAGACAGACTCTGGTTCTGTTCCTGGAATATGCTGAGCCCAGTGCTGCCCCAGGGCCTTTGCACTCACCGTCCCCTCTGCCTGGGACTCTCCCAAGCTCTCGTTATGGCTCCTCCTCATTACTTCATTCTCAGCTCATGTGCTGTCTCCTCTTAGCGGCTACAGTTGCTGGGACCTCGCCCCAGCCTGACACATGTCCACCTGTTTCTTAAAGGTTTTACAAGTGTGCAGGGCAGAATGAAGGTACAGAAGGAAGGTGCACTCAGCAGGTATTTTATTGAGCACCTACCATGTGCCAGGCATTTGCTATGTCATCACTGTGATCATTATCTGCACAGTCATTTCATTCCCCATGACCATCACGACCCCAACCCCACTAACTGTGAGCTCTGTGTAAGTGGGCCTGGGTCCATCTTGCCCACCCCTGTATTTGCAGCCCAACAGTCAGAGCATAGTAGGTGCTCAATTAATACTTGTGAGTGAGCCCCCACTTCATTTGTGGGGAAGCCACTCGGTGAATCAACCGAGATCACATGGACAGGACTGACTGGGCACAGATATGGGCCCCAGGCCCCATGCTGTCCTTGGGTCCCAGAACAAGCCCCTGGGGCCACCCCATCCCCCAGATCTCAGGGAAGGAAGGGGGGGCACTGGGTGCCTTTTAGGGGCTCACGCTGCTGCCCTGCAGGGGAATGCTGGACCAGCTGCCACCTCTCCCTGTCTGCCCAATGGTGGCAGTTGGCTGAGGCAGGGGTTCCCCGCTGCCACTGTTGCCCCTTCAGGGTCAAGACAGAACAGGCTGGCGGGGGGGTGGGGGGGGATCTGGGAAAGTAGAGGCTGAGTCAGACCTTAGTTAACATGTCACCTCACCTCTATGCATCTTAAGGTCCTCTTCTTGCAAGCCCCATTGGGATCGCAAAGCCCCTGAAAAGAGGGCCAGCGCTGTCTAGTGCCTGGTGCACCCACAGTACCTGGCACACAGCGGGCACCAAGTCAGGGACAAGTGGCAGAGTAAACAGATCGGGGGAAGCTGGAGAGGAGCTGGGCCCTCCCAGGGCTGGAATGGGTACCTTCTGCCTGGGGACGGGGGCAGTAGGAGCCATGGAAGGAGTTTGAGCAGGGGCAGGGCAGGCACCAGTCTGCTTCAGAAAGATGGCAGCTGAGCGGAGCGGGGCTGGTCGGGTGGGCTTGGCAGGACGGCAGGAGACTCTACAGCTGCAGAGGAGAGAGAGGGGAAAGCTGGGAATAGGGTGGGGACTTGGGGACGACACCCCCAAGTCAGGAGATGGTGGAAGAAAAAGAGTAGACGGAAGCAGTTTGGTTTGGGACTTTGAGGATAGGTGATATCCGGGGAGGGGATCTGCAGGAGAGAGCAATGTGGGGGTCACGCTGGGTGGGAGTGGGTAGGGGAGAGCTGTGAAAACCCTTCTATCCCAGCTTCCACCCTCTGACTCTCCCTCCCTATCCTGCCCCTCCCCCCACTGCCACCCACAGAAGCTGAAGGATGAGATCGAAGATGTGTTTGCCCAAATCGACTGCTTCGAGATGACAGAGGAGAGGTGAGTTGTCGGCCAAGGGGCCCCGGAAGTTGCCATGGTGTCATCCTAAGGATGTCACACACCATGAATGAGCAGGGCCATGCCTGGTCTGGGCCCTGGGGAAGTCAGGGAGGAGGCCCCGGAGGAGGAGGAGGCAGGACGGTGAGACAGGAGCAGGGCTGGCTGGTCCCTGCTTCCAAGCACCTCCCTCTCTTGAGAGACAGCCCCATCCTCCCATCCTCTCCACCCAAAGTCTCTTCTGACCCACCCTGATCTACCCCTTGACCAATCACCACCCAGGAGATCCCGGGATGGGAAGGGAGAAGGAAAACTCGGCCCCAAGGATGAGGACAGGGAAGCCAAGGCTCAGGGGGAGGAGCCTGGCCTGTGACAGGACAGGGGTTGGTCCACTCCACCCTCAGGGTGTCATGCACCTGCCCCTGCTATGGGAAGACTCCCCCTGGCTCTGTCACCTGGGGCTGGTCCCCTCCCCTCTCGGGGCCTCAGTTTCCCACTTGTGAGATGAGAAGGTTGATCCTGACATCACCCCATAGGGCCCCAGTATCCCAGAAATCCCCACCCTGCCCTGCCACCCCTGAGCTCCCTGCCGCCTCCACCTGCACCTGTCTAGCCCCCACACACATGCACACAGACACTCCCATGCACTCCCAACCCATCCCGTCTCTAGATTCCCTCCCTGCTCAGGCCCCAACAAAAACACAGGACATTTCCAGAGCACCGACCACCCGCTGTTTCCAGCGCTTTAACCTCCCAACAGCGCTGGGAGCAGGGGTGATGCTGCCCCATTTGACAGATGAGGAAACTGAGTTCCAGAGAGACGAGTGACTCTCCCTAAGTGGCTGGGCCAGCAAGGGGTGGGGCCCATTTGCACCAAGAGGCTGGCTCCACCTGCGCTCTCCCCCCAGCCTCCTGTCATCTTGCCCGCACTCCAGCCCAGTGGGGGGGGGGGCTAAGTGCTCCTCCTGAGAACTCTGGGTTCTCAAGGCCATGGTGCTGGGCCCGTTGGGAGAGTCTGTGTGGTGGCTCTGGGAGGGCCCAGACCCTGCATTTCTCATGCTCACAAGGCCTGCCCCACCCCCCGGAGGCCCCTCAGGAATATTGGCTCCAGCTGAGGGGACGGGAGTCCGCAAGGTGTCTGAGGGTCCTTGGAGGCTGGAAGGGCGTGCCCTGGGGTCCCGGGGCAGCCCACGCTGACACCTTTGTGTCCACAGCCGGATGGCCCAGAAGGAGAAGGAGCTATGCATTGGGCGCAAGAAGTTCAACATGGACCCCGTGAAGGTAGGCAGTGTGAGGGCTCCGCTCATGGGGCCGGGTTGCTGCATCCCGGCCACCTGCCTAACGCTCTCTGTTTCCCTCCGCTGACACTAAACCCATCCTACAGATGCGGAAACTGAGACCAGCAGGCCTCAGCCTCCTGTCCAGTCATCCCGGGCACAGCAGCCCAGGCGTGAGGTGGGAGCCAGGAGGTGGGGGGTCTATGATGCCGTGGACCTGGGGTCCCTGGGCACCAGGCCTGCTTCCTCCTCTGTGGGGAGGGCGTCAGACACGATGACCCTTAGATTCTGGGGGTCAGTCCCCAGAAGTGCCTTCCAGACACGGGCCCGGGGGAGCCAGATCTGGCTGCAGGCACAGAGCACTGAGGGCGCAGCTCCCCTCTCCCTCCCCCAGCCCCGCCCCTGCCCTGCCCTGCGAGGGGGCTGTGGGCTCCTTTCCTGTGGGAACAAGCCAGGAGGAAGCGCGAGCTGACACAGAGCGGAGGTGGGCAGGGCAGCCAAGGGCCCTGGAAATTCACTGCTCTGGCTTCAAAGGCTGCCTCCCCGCCCTGTCACAGGCCCACAGCCTCACCCACCCACTCACCTCCCACGGCATCACCCACCCATTCACCTCCCACAGCATCACCCACCCATTCACCTCCCACAGCATCACCCACCCACTCACCTCCCACAGCATCACCCACCCATTCACCTCCCACGGCATCACCCACCCATTCCCTCCCACAGCCTCACCCACCCACTCACCTCCCACAGTCCCAGAAATTGGACCCCTCTGCCCCATACCAGGGACCACACACACACACACACACTCACATTCCCCGCCTGAGCACCTGGGAAGGGCCACTCAGGGGTCCCCAGGACCCTCTGCCTGGCATTCGGAGCCCCCCACAAACTGCCCCCCCAGCTTCCAGAAGCCTCTTTCACCAAAAGGGACATGAAGGACCCATCCCAGAAAACCAGGGGCAGTCTCTCCAAGGCCTAAAGTGAGGAGGATGGACTCCGAGAGCGGAGTCGTGGGGAGGGACGCTGTGATATTGTCAAATCAGAAAAGCCGGTTTGGGTGCGAAGGCGCACCCCGCTCCCACTTCCATCTAGAAAGGGAGAGAAAGCCACCACGGCAACTGTCTACCTCCGAGTGGTAGGACTTGGGCAATTTCTCCTTTTGATTTTGTGTTTTCCTAATTCTTATGCAACGGACATAGATCACTTGCAAGAAAACAAATGAAACACCCTTTTTAAATAATGTGAACTTTTAGGAGACAAAAGGAATGGCTGAATCATTGAATCTTAACATTTTAAATCAATGGAATCATTGAAGCTTATAGTCAAAGCGTGTCAGACTGAGGGGAACCCTGGGGAGCACCTGGCATGAACCTGGTTCATGGCAGACACCCCCTCTCTCTTTGCATGCCTCCGGCGATGGGGAACTCACCACCTTACACAGGCAGCTTCTATTAAGGAGGGACACAACTTCCCGAACAGGCTGTGCCAATGCAGATGCCAGGCCCTGGGGCTTGGGCCACGGGGGCGCCCTCCCTCCCTCCTCCCAGGCTGGCTGCTCATGGCTCTGTGTACCACGTCCAGGGCATCCAGTATCTCATTGAACACAAGCTGCTGACCTCCAATGCCCAGGACATTGCCCGGTTCCTGTACAAGGGCGAGGGTCTCAACAAGACGGCCATCGGTACCTACTTGGGGGAGAGGTAAGGGGGCGGGGCCTGAGGGAGGCAGGGAATGGGGTGTGCAGGTGTGTGCGCGCAGGTGAGTGAGGGAGTGAATTATGTCAGGAAAGTCATAACTCCTGCAGCTTGAGGAGGCTGTCCCTTCCCTCCAGATGCTGAACCAAAGCCTGCCTTCCTTCCTTCCTTCCTTCCTTCCTTCCTTCCTTCCTTCCTTCCTTCCTTCTTTCCTTCCTTCAACAGGTAGACGTTTGTTAGTATCTATCCTATGCCAGGCACTGTTCTAAGCCCCGGATTTAGACCAGTGATCAAGACAGACAAAACTCCTGCCCTCGGGAAGGCAGATTCCAATGGGGAAGACAGATTCCCAAATATGTAAAACCTGTTAGAAAATTATAAATTCTTTGGAATCCAAATAAAGCAGGGACGGGAGGTGAGAGGGGCTGGGGACCACAGGGCAAGGGCTGTGACTTTAGCATGGACAGGATGTTCGACTGAAACTTATAGGGGGAGAGCAGGGTAGACATCTAGGGGAAGAGCATTCCAGGCAGAGGGAACAGCATGTGCAAAGGCCCTGGGGCAGAAGCATGCGCGAGGAACAGCAGGCTGGTGAGACTGGAAGAGAGCAAAGGAAGGAGGGAGGAAGTAGTAGGTGACAAGGTGGGGGTCCATGGGAGGCTCTGGGCAGAGGTGTGTCTGAGAGGACCCCTCTGGCTGCTGGGTTGGGGGGCTGGGACTGCAAGGGACCCGGGTGGAGCTGGGCCAGCGAGCCGGCCACCCTTCTCGCAGGCTCCCCAGAGGACCCATTTCTCCTGAGCGAGCAGGGAGCGCGGGTGGCAAGAAGGGCAGCACCCCCTGGTCTAAGAGCCGGGATGAGGGAGGCACAGGGGCCGGCATAGTCGTCTCCGTTGCACAGATCAGGACACTGGGGCTGGGGGAGATCAAGGGGCTTGAGTGGTGTCCCAGGCAGGCAGTGACAGAGGAAGGGTCTGACTCAGGGAAAGCCCTCCAAAGCCAGACTCGCATCCCGAGTGAGAGCAGTGCTGGTGAGCGGTGGGCGTGGTGGGGGTCTGTTCAGGTGTGGGAGGGCACGGTGTGCACGTGGGAGGGGGTGCTGTGGGGTCAGACAGATGTGAGCAGGCCAGATAGAGGCTGGACCCAGAAGGAGGACATCTGTCCCCTCCTGTCCCTCCCCCACCTCCATCCCCTCCAGGCGGTTCGTACCAGAAAGTTCCCCAGGGCATCCCACTCTCCCTTCTGCCCCCTCCCCAGGGACCCCATCAACCTGCAGGTCCTCCAGGCCTTTGTGGACTGCCACGAGTTCGCCAACCTCAACCTCGTCCAGGCCCTCAGGTGAGTGGTCTAGGGCCTGCCCGCGATGGTGGCACAGCCAGGGTGGGGGCTGCTGGGGGCATCACGAGCCACACGGCTAAGAGCACAAAGTGTCAGGAGCCAAAATGAATGAATGGCAGTGCCCGCCTCATGCAGCTGGGGCTGGTGGGACAATTGGCTGGACCACCTGGAACAGCACCTGGTTCATTTCTGCTACTGCTGCTGGTATTACTATGTTACAACATTACTATAATAATACTTCATCACTGTAATTGTTATTACGATTATTACTGCCATTCCCACTACTTTTCAGAATAGTGCTTGTTTTATTTATTTTATTAATACAGCTTAGCGTGTATTACATTATTATTACTTATTATCCTATGTAATAAAAGACTAATATGCAAATTGTCCCCTCGACCAGGAGTTCGACCAGTGGGTGGGGCTGGCCAACCACTCGAGGCCCCTCCCCCCGGCCGGCCCCACCCGATTGCCCCCCCCCACACCCTGATCGGGGGCGGGGCCGGCCGACCAACCTCCTGCAGCCCCTCCCTCAGGCCATCCAGCTTGATCAGCCCGATCCAGCAGGCCAGCGGACCCCACCTGTACACAAATTTGTGCACCGGGCCTCTGGTTTTCTAATAGAATATTATTGTGCCTACTTTTGTTTTTACACTTACAGAGGCATTATAGCATATCAGTTAGGAGCACAAACTCTGGAGCCAGACTGCCCAGTTCATATCTCCGTTCTGCCACTCACCCCCCGTGTGGCTTTGGGCAAGTCACCAAAAACCTCGCAGTGCCTGTTTCTTCATCTGTAAAATGGGGATAATAATAGTACCAACCTCATACAGTTGTGAGAACATGCTTAGAATTGGGCCCACAGTAAGTGTTTAGGGCAGTGATGGCGAACCTTTTGAGCTCGGCGTGTCAGCATTTTGAAAAACCTTAACTTAACTCTGATGCCGTGTCACATACAGAAATTTTTTGATATTTGCAACCATAATAAAACAAAGATTTATATTTTTGATATTTATTTTATATATTTAAATGCCATTTAACAAAGAAAAATCAACCAAAAAAATGAGTTCGCGTGTCACCTCTGACAGGCGTGTCATAGGTTCGCCATCACTGATTTAGGGAATCTTGGAAACTTAGCTCCCCAAAGGGGGCCTTTGAGCTGGGCTTTAAAGGATGAATAGGAGTTTTCAAGGCAGAGAAGAAAGGAGCCGCCACTATGCAGGCAATGTGGCCTTCCCTCTAACTGCCATGTTCTTTGAGAGAGAGGCTAGTTTCCAATAGTCATTCGCTCATTCAGTCACTCACTCAACAAGGCCTTATGGAGCAGATGCTGCGTGCCTGGGGCTGGCCCAGGGCCCACAGTCAGACCGTAGTACCTGATGGCCAGGCAGGGAGAGCTGCAGAACCCGGGCAGGCAGAGTCCCGCTCCGGCTGAGGTGCACTGGGCCACAGAAGGTGCGAGGACTCAGACGGGCAGAGGGCAGCACAAGCTCAGCTCTGTATTCTGGGGGAAGAAAAAAAAAGGCATTTCTTGGAAACCTGCATGCCCGGTGCTTGCAGAGCTTGGCTGACAGATTCGCCCGTTTACAGGATAAAGAGATTAAGCCGGGGAAAGGCAGACTGGCTTGTCCAGGGTCCCCCGAGAGCCCCACCCACCCTGCTGCCCACAGCCCTGTTCCTCCCCCAGGCAGTTCCTCTGGAGCTTCCGGCTGCCGGGCGAGGCCCAGAAGATTGACCGGATGATGGAGACGTTTGCCACTCGCTACTGCCTCTGCAACCCAGGCGTCTTCCAGTCCACAGGTGCCAGTGTGGGGCGGGACCGGGGCTCCAGGACCCCTTAAACATCGCCAGGCACAGATCTGCCTCCCAAAGCACCATGCTTACCCCACTCCCTCTGGTTTCTCCCAGTACCCAGACCCTGGGAGCCCAGATCATTCCAAGCCCTCACTGAGCATCAGCTCTGTGCCAGCCCCTCTATTGGGCACTTGCTGGGCAGAGCTGCCTCTCATGCTCCTCAGCGGAGGAGGCAGGAAACCATAGCCCAGGGTCCTGGGCAGCAGCACACCTGTCTGAGGGCAGGGACTGGGGAGTCAGCATGTCCAGGATGGCTTCCCAGAGGCAGTGGGGTCTGAATGGGGTTTTGAAGGTTGAATAAGAGTTCTCCAGAAGGTCAAGGGGATAAAGGGCAGTTTGAGCAGGAGTTCTAGTTCAAGCAAAGGCCCTGGGCAGGACATAGCCAGACTTCCCTGGCTCTGGACACACACCCCATTGCAGCAGTCGCCTCCCTCCCAAATGCTCCACCCAGTGCGCAGCCTCGCACGTGAACATCTGGATCCGAGAACAGGAGTCCCACGATGCAGCCAGATTACCAAGCAGCACTGACTAAGCCCTGAACAGTGGTGCCAACAATAAGTGCTCTCCGAGACCCGGGAGACAGAGAACAGCGTGGGCAGAGGGGCTGGCGGGCTCGGTGGGGCGGAGCGCTGGAGCTGAGAGGGGGACTTGACTGGGTAGAAAAGGGGAGGGGAGGGGACACCTGGCAGGGGCCCCGCAAGAGCAAAAGTGCAGGGGTGGGAAGCACCGAGGGCTCCCGGCCGCCGTGGCCACGGGAGTGGCTTTGGAGCAGGGAGTCCAGTAGGAGTGGAAGGTGAGCCCGGGCCTCGAATGTCAAGCCAGGAGGAGAGGGGGCCCTGGAGAGGCTGACCCTTGATCCCTAGGAGGAGTCGGGGCAGAGGAGGGGAGAGCGGCCAGGGCAGGCTCTGACCCGCTGTCCCCACCCGCAGACACCTGCTACGTCCTGTCCTTCTCCATCATCATGCTCAACACCAGCCTCCACAACCCCAACGTCCGGGACAAGCCGCCCTTCGAGCGCTTTGTGTCCATGAACCGCGGCATCAATGCTGGCAGCGACCTGCCCGAGGACCAGCTGCGGGTAAGGGGGCGTGGCCTCGCCAGCCCCGTCAATGATGGACAGCCGGAGCGGGCTCCTCTGAGCTGAGCCATCAGGTTGGCGACTGTCTGGAGGCTGGTCCCGGGATCCCCCTCCCACGTGGCCCCCATGTTCAGAGATAGACCACCCAGGAGGTCCTGCCAGGCCTCAAGCTTTGAGGGACTCTGGCATCCATCATTCACATCTTCCAGAAAGGGCGCCTCACGCAGCCCGTCTATTTCTTGGAATCCCAGATTCTTAGATTCTTAGTGCTTAGAGCTGAAAACCCTCACGCTCTCCCCCCTTCAGAGGGAGGAAACTGAGGTCTCCCGCAGGCTGCACGTCAGCTCAAGAGCTGAGCAGAGCCCAAGGCTCCCGTCTCCTCGTCAAGCAGCGCCCACCCTGCCACCCTGCTCCAGGCCTGGTGGAGTACAGCCCTGGGTGACTCGTGCTGTGTTCACGATGGGAACATGGCCATGGAGACGCAGAGGACACTACCTCCCTCTCCTGGGGGCAGGGAAAGGTGTCACCCTAGAAGACTCCACAGAGGAGGTGACTTTGAACTGGGCCTTGCAGATTGAACAGGAGTTTCCCCCGAGGAGAAGCAGAGAAAGGTCACTTCCGGAGGAGGAAGCGGCCAGAACCCAGGCCTGGCCTGGTTGGGGGGGGAGGGGAGGGGAGTCCGGATTGGCAGGCTGGGGTGCAGGTGCCTGTGGACAGTGATGGGCGGCACGGTGGGGCCAGAGTGTCCAGGCCTTTGGATGGCAGCCTGGGGAGTTGGCCTGTTTTCTATGGGCCACAGGGAGTCGGGAGCAGTTCTGCAAACACTGGCGTGAGATTCAGAGCCTGGATCAGCACAAATGAATGGACAGTTCATTTCTCGGACTGGACATGCCCAGAGCTCCACAGAGCCCCAGTTCCCTCCAGGCCAGAGCCCGGCAGGAGGGGGGGAGAGTGTGAAGGTCACGCTCCCAGCTTAGCACCGCGTACCTCCTGCAGAAGCTGGGGGAGCCTGGGTCCGGAATGATGCTGGCGCCCCTCCTTGTCTGAGAAGGGCCCTCAGCCCCCCACGCTTCTTAGTCCAGAAGGGAAAATTGATTGTGGTGGGAGCTCTGGTCAGATCTCGCCTCCCCCGTCTGCCTGCCGCGTGACCTTGGGAATGACTCACCCTCTCCCAGCCACCAGCCCCTCAGACAACAGGGATAATGGCGCCTGTGTCACCGAGCTGCTCTGAGAGCCAATGTTTTCAATGCAAAGGGCACAGCCCATGCAGGGACAGAGCACAGGCTCAATTGGTGGCTTGTGCCACTGGTAAGAAGAATGAATAATGATTTTAACACCCCGGCACTTAGTAAAACGCCTGAAACATAAAAGGCACTTGAGAACTGTTGACTCATCTCATCATGGCACTCCCAGCAGGAAGCTGGGCCCTGCGTCTGGCAGTTAATGAGTTAATGGCTGGCCAGCCCAGTGCTGCCCGGCTCCCCGGCTCCCCATGCCACAGGGTAGCGTCAGCCCCCAGGCAGCCTTTCCCAGCACCTCCCTCCCGGATCTTTGCTCAGTTTAAGCCTTTCGTTGATCACAATGCGTTGCATTTGTGTGGAGCTTGTAGCTTTCTGCTCACAGGGCTGGCTGGTCTTATCTCAGTTTTGCCTCAGACTCTGCCTGGGGGGCTGGGAAGGGTTCATCCTCCTCCTTGGCCACTGAGAGAGGCAGGGACGGAGCGGAGCTGAGAGGTCAGGCCACACCCGAGTCCTGGTCCCCGCGTCCTGGTCCTGGTACGTGACGTTAGGTAAGTGGCTTGACCTCCCTGAGCTCCCAGCTCCCAGGATCAGTGTAGGAAGGGAAGGTATTTAGCAAAGTAGGGGAGGGGAGGGGAGTCCGGATTGGCAGGCTGGGGTGCAGGTGCCTGTGGACAGTGATGGGCGGCACGGTGGGGCCAGAGTGTCCAGGCCTTTGGATGGCAGCCTGGGGAGTTGGCCTGTTTTCTATGGGCCACAGGGAGTCGGGAGCAGTTCTGCAAACACTGGCGTGAGATTCAGAGCCTGGATCAGCACAAATGAATGGACAGTTCATTTCTCGGACTGGACATGCCCAGAGCTCCACAGAGCCCCAGTTCCCTCCAGGCCAGAGCCCGGCAGGAGGGGGGGAGAGTGTGAAGGTCACGCTCCCAGCTTAGCACCGCGTACCTCCTGCAGAAGCTGGGGGAGCCTGGGTCCGGAATGATGCTGGCGCCCCTCCTTGTCTGAGAAGGGCCCTCAGCCCCCCACGCTTCTTAGTCCAGAAGGGAAAATTGATTGTGGTGGAGCTCTGGTCAGATCTCGCCTCCCCCGTCTGCCTGCCGCGTGACCTTGGGAATGACTCACCCTCTCCCAGCCACCAGCCCCTCAGACAACAGGGATAATGGCGCCTGTGTCACCGAGCTGCTCTGAGAGCCAATGTTTTCAATGCAAAGGGCACAGCCCATGCAGGGACAGAGCACAGGCTCAATTGGTGGCTTGTGCCACTGGTAAGAAGAATGAATAATGATTTTAACACCCCGGCACTTAGTAAAACGCCTGAAACATAAAAGGCACTTGAGAACTGTTGACTCATCTCATCATGGCACTCCCGGCAGGAAGCTGGGCCCCGGGTCTGGCAGTTAATGAGTTAATGGCCGGCCAGCCCAGTCCTGCCCGGCTCCCGGCTCCGCCACAGGGTAGCCTCAGCCCCCAGGCAGCCTTTCCCAGCACCTCTCTCCTGGATCTTTGCTCAGTTTAAGCCTTCTGTTGATCACAATGCGTTGCATTTGTGTGGAGCTTGTAGCTTTCTGCTCACAGGGCTGGCTGGTCTTATCTCAGTTTTGCCTCAGACTCTGCCTGGGGGGCTGGGAAGGGTTCATCCTCCTCCTTGGCCACTGAGAGAGGCAGGGACGGAGCGGAGCTGAGAGGTCAGGCCACACCCGAGTCCTGGTCCCCGCGTCCTGGTACGTGACGTTAGGTAAGTGGCTTGACCTCCCTGAGCTCCCAGCTCCCAGGATCAGTGTAGGAAGGGAAGGTATTTAGCAAAGTACCTGGTACAGTTGGAGGGGCTAATTCACCCAGAAGCTCCCAGGGCACACGGAGACCCACCCAGGCCTGGCCCTTGCTATCCAAGGCTTTCACAGGTGGCTGCTGTGGATGGCCGGACGGTGGAGGGGGGGTCTCCTCGCCTTCTCTCTGGGCCTCCTCTTCCTCATATGCAAAGCCAGGACTCGGCTTTCAGCACCCTCAGATGTTCAAAGTTGGCCCCTTTGCGGAAGGATTCCTCATGGAGCGATCCCAGCCCGGGCCCTGCCGTGGACCCGTAGTGCTTTGAAGAGCCCGATGTAGGAATTAAGCTGCTGCAGGTGCAGCCCCTAAAGAGAGGCCAACCCGAGGGCTTGCGGACCATGAGGGTGCGCAGCTGGGAAAGGCTCGGACAGGGGCGAGGTGGGGTTGAGGGACGGGTGGGTCAAGCAGGTCTTCCCTGACCCTCGTGACGGGACAGGCCACAGTACCTAAGAGACTCTGGGCAAAGGCACGGGGCGTGGACTCAGAGGATGGAAGATCAAATCCCAGCGCTGCCTTTATGGCTGTATGACCTTGAGTCTGGGCCTCAGTTTCTTCATCTACAAAGTGGGCTGATGGCACTGATCTCACGCCATCCCCCTAGAAGCAGAGATAATGCACTTCAAGTCCCTGGCACTTGGCAGGTGCTGGTGAAATGAGAGAGGAATCACTTACCGTGAGAGCACTGCCCAGAGAGGGAGCGAGGGTGCGAGAGGAGAAGGAGGAGGGTTACAGGTGGAGAAACTGAGGCCGGTCAGGGGAACAGCCTCCCAGTTCAGGGCATCTTCTACTGTGGAGTCCAAGTGACTCCAGCAGAACTGACGTGTCTGAGCCCAATTCCAGGAACTCCACGTTCTCCTTAAGTCTCCCGACCACCTTAGGACTCTGACCCGCTGTCAGAAACCATCCCCAGTTTACAGTGGGGTAGCTGGTCAGGGAGGGGTTTCATAGTTTGTGAGGAGTTCAGATTCGAAGCCATGTCTGTCTGATCCCAGAGCCCTTCCCTCTGCAGAGACCAGGGGCACGACTTAGGGACAGAGGACTTGGCTGTGTGTCCCTGCTGACAGTCGCTTCCTGGCTAGAGGAGCCCTAGCTCATGTAACAGAAAAGATCAGGGATCAATTTATCTTCAGGTCAGTCGGCTTCAGGCGTGGCTAGATCCAGGTGCTCAGAGAGGTCAGGTATCGGTCCCATCTCTCGTGCTGTCAATCACCCTCCTCCATGCCGGCTTTCCTCTCAAAGGGGCTCTCCCCAGGCTGTGGCCGGGATGGCTGGGCAGCTCCAGGCTCCCATTTTGCTTAGCAGTTTAAACTAAAGTTCCAGGATTCAGGCTGATTGGCTGGCTTCGGTCACCCGTCCCTCCCTGAACCAGTCACTGAGACCAGCAGGATGAGATGCTCTGATGAGCCAGAAGGGACCCGTTCACACCCTGCCCTGGAGCCTGGGTGGGGACAGTGGGTGTCATTACCCCTGGGCAATCTAAACAGAAAGTGCGTTTGGGGTGGGGTGAGTCCCCAGAGGGACACGGGGCGTGGAAAGGGACAGATGCCAGTGTCTGATGGTGCCCACCCAGCAGAAGTCAGCCTGGCCCCGTAGTTTGGTGGCGGCAGGAGCAGGGGTGTTCGGTTGGGGGTGGGAGGCTGGTGTTTATAAGATACAGGAAACGTGGGGAGCTGAGCGGTTTTCCTTGTGGGGGCAGAATGTGCAGGCGGATATGCTGCGCGCAGAAGCTGCCAGGGCCCCCAGGGGGTGTCGGGCAGGCTCCCCTGCCCGCCTCCTCCGGCTTCCAAATATTTGTCTGTGCTGACAGCTTCGCTGACAAGGCCTCCTGCTGCAGCCCTTGTTTAACCAGCATGAGCCACCCGGGAGTTCCCAGGGCCAGGCTGGGCCAGGCAGGGCATGGCTGGGAGAAGCAGCGGGCCTTCGGGCCTTCGTGGCTGCTCTGGGGGCTGCAGGGGCTCCAAACAGAGCAAGGGCCCTCTCTCCCCCCCTCCCCCCGCCCTGTGCTCGGTCAGAAAGACCTTCCCTCAGCAAACACCATTTCTAAAACTTGGGGGGAATCAAGCAACACTCATTAGATTTTTCATTTAAAATGTTGAGGCAACCATCTGAACAGCAGCGCACACCAACGCGGCAGAAGGAAAAGATCTGATTATCTTGGGGATGGAGAGCCAGCACTGCGTCTGGTTTTCAGAAGCAGAAATAACAGCTCGGAATGTCTCCCCAAACGCTTGGAAGCCTGGGCAGCTCTTACGAAATGAAGTGCCCCGAGGGACGAGGATGACCCATCGTGACCCATCACCAACACCCACACTCCGAAGGGAGGTCCGAGCCCTGAGCCCGGGCTCGCACCTCCAGTGACAGGCGCTCCTGCCCCTCCCAGGCTGCTCCTTCCAGTTTCAGCAGCTCTGACGGCCAGAAAGCCCTCCACAGAGAACGGAAATCGCTTTCTGGGACCCCTGCCCCCCAGTCAGAGCCCACCCAGAACAGGTCCTTTGCCTTTGAGAGCCGAGGTCAGCGTTTCACCTTGAGAGTCTCCTTCGGCCGGACCAGCCCCATCCCCCGGGCTCCCCTGTGCCCCCACCCAGGGCACCTGGAAGCCCTGCTGCAGGGGTGTTGCCCAAGGAGGCGCTGCCCTTGGCTGCTGTGCCCCAGCGTGTGCATCTATGTGGTGTGTGTGTATCTGTCTGCACTTATATGTATGTGTATGTATCAACCGTATTTCTATGTGTGTGTGCTTCTATGTGTCTGTTTCTATGTGTGTGTTTCTGTGTGTGTGTTTTTCTATGTGTGTGTGTGTGTGTTTATGTGTCTGTTTCTATGTGTGTGTTTCTATGTGTGTGTGTGTCTGTTTCTGTGTGTGTTTCTCTGTGTGTGTGTTTATGTGTCTGTTTCTGTGTGTTTCTCTGTGTGTGTTTTTCTATGTGTGTGTGTTTATGTGTCTGTTTCTATGTTTGTGTTTCTGTGTGGGGGTGTTTCTCTGTGTGTGTTTCTCTGTGTGTGTGTGTCTGTTTCTGTGTGTGTGCGTTTCTGTGTGTGTGTGTGTGTATGTTTCTGTGTGTGTCTGTGTGTATGTTTCTGTGTGTGTGTCTGTGTGTATGTTTCTGTGTGTGTGTGTCTGTGTGTATGTTTCTGTGTGTGTTTCTGTGTGTATGTTTCTGTGTGTGTGTGTTTCTGTGTGTGTGTGTATGTATGTTTCTCTGTGTGTGTGTGTTTCTGTGTGTGTGTGTGTGTGTATGCACAAACATGCACGCACAGGTGAACGTGTGGGTGGGTGTACAGGTCCCAGCCACTGAGTGTCCTTGTCTCCACCACCGTCACAGGGGTGGCAGTCTTGGACGTGCTCATCTGACCTGTACCCACTTGGCGGAGGGAGTGCAGGCGGGGGCTGTACTCCTCCCTCCTCATCACCTTCTGTGACTTGGAGAGGGGGCTCTGGCCCTGTGTAGTCTATTTCCTACCCCAGAACCCTGGCCAGCCAGCCTGTTCTCTCCATTTATTGGATAAGGACACAGCAGCTCAGAGAGGTTGAGGGACACGCTCAGGGTCACACAGCCACTGAGTGACCGGGCTGGGATTTTAACCCAGAGGGCCCAGTGCTCTTGTCCCACCGTGCCTCTGTGCCGCTGGCTGGGATTCCAGGCGGGGTGTGTGGGTGTGGGTGTGGGTGTGGGTGTGGGTGTGGGTGTGGATGGGGAGCAGCATCCATTTAGTCAGCAAACAGTTGCCAACCTGCTTTAGGCCAGGCCCTGGGGAAGTTCGGGGGGTGGGGGTGGTGAGGGTGACACCCAGGCCTGCCCTGGGGGAGCTCCCCTATTTGGGAAGGTCAAGGCCAGCAAACAATACTGATAGTGTGGGGGCCACGCATGCGTTGCCAACCTGCTTTAGGCCAGGCCCTGGGGAAGTTCGGGGGGTGGGGGTGGTGAGGGTGACACCCAGGCCTGCCCTGGGGGAGCTCCCCTATTTGGGAAGGTCAAGGCCAGCAAACAATACTGATAGTGTGGGGGCCACGCATGCGGCGACCACACAGTATCCGAGGCGCTGAC